CAATCGGAAGATGCAGGATCTGGCTCGAGGAATTCAACGTCAACGTCGGGATCATGACGACATCATTTCTAGGTTTGAAACCGTGAAGTCACATGTTGAACAGTATGAAGCGAGATCGGCAGTTGTGAATCGGGTCGTTGATGGCATCCAAGGACAGATCCGTAATCTTCCTGCCAGCAGTGACCAAGTGCAGCCTGCCGTTAGGCGAGAGCTCGGCACATTCCGGAGTACACTTGAAGGTGTTATGCGGAGAGTCAGCGCTATCGATGGTAACGTACGTAACCTTAGCGCCGCGAACAACAGAATCATGTCCCAGCTCTTTGAGATGGAGGGTCAATTTGACGAGGCTGCTGGCATTTCAGGGTGTCCAGCAGATTAATGAAGCTCCTCCACAACCCAGAGAAAGACGGAATGTTGGTTACCATGCATTTGCGGGGCAAGGACATAGGATCAGGTCACCGACGCCTACACCAGGGGAAGGTGACGGCCGGGGTACTGGCCTGCCGGTGAGACCAGGCGGAGGCGTTGTTTTGCCTGATCATGTTTTGCCGAATGTGCCCGATAGGGTCGATCCTTCTCGCGCAGACAGGCATCCCATCTATCCCGTTAGGGAGAGGTCCGACAGCAGGAGCAGGAGGGTTCGGGGGTTGCCTGACAGGTCGCATTCGCCACCGGAGCGTGCAAGGGGTGGTCCCCGCGCGCGCGCAAGGGGGGACGTTTCTATTTCCCCCAATAGGGATGCGGGTAGGAATAGGAGCCCGAGGCCTGCTGCCGTCCCCGATAGGGGATCTGAGGTCCGGAGTCGACAACCGAGGGGGGAGAGGCCAATCCGCGATAGCGGGAGCGTCTCTCCGAGTTTTGATAGGCCAATCCGCGATAGCGGGAACGTCTCTCCGAACCCAGGTCGTCATTCAGGAGGTGGTGGGGGTAATAGGGTTCATGCCGACATCCAGAGTCCTGGTGATGAGTGGAGGACTCCTGGGAGTAGAGCCAGCGCCGACGCCCAGAGTCCCGGCGATAGGCGAGGGACCGCTGGAGCTCCGTCGGATCGTGGACAGGCCTCAGCGCCGGCTGCAAGAGGGGCTCCCGGCGATGATGGCCCAGAAGCGCCAAAGATTTGTGCCCTCGATGATCCCAACGACCGTAGGCACCCGAATGCTGAATTCTCGTGTGTGACATGCAGTCGTGAGTTCTGCGGGCTTTGCCGTGGTGACGACGGGGACTGTTGCAATTGTCAGTTCTTGAAAATGAAATGCTGGGCATGCCGCAAGAATGCTCAGGAGGTCTCCATGTATCTCTGTACGGATTGTGGGACTCACGTCTGTGAGAATCACAGTTACTTCGGAAATGACGGCCTTGAGCGATGTGCACGCTGCAATATTCGGCATGAACGCGCTCAAGCTGGACCGCCCCCTCCTCCTCCTCCCGGGGGAGGTGGTGGGCAAGGCGGACCACCTGGTCAAGGTGGGAGCGGAAGTGGTGGGCATGGACATGCCCCAGCTCCACCGCCAGGTCCTGGGCATTATGGTGGAGGCCAGGATCCCGCTGGGCCTTCTGGAGGCCCGAGTGGAGGGGCTCCTACCGGGGGTTACCCTGGTGGAGCGCCTGGGTTCCACGGTAGTGCTGCGGATACTCATGGAATTGGGAACAATCAGTGTGGTTCCAGTTTCTATGGTCCTGCCTACGGAGGTGGCGTTAGTCACCAAGGGGTTGGCGCTGGCGTTAGTCAGTCTTGCAATGCCACGGGTTACCCCTCAAGTGTTGCGAGCGGTGGTAGCCTTGGGCCTGGTCTTAGCCTCGGCTATAGTGTGAATGGTGCCGGTAGGCAGGGAGATGGTGGTCTTCTCCCTGAAGCCTTGAGGGGAGATGATGGACGGGACAGGTGCACTAAGTGTAACAGGATCCCTGAGCCTGGTTTCCCTCTTGTTCCTTGCGTTGGTTGTGGAATGAGGGCGTGTGAAGTTTGCTGCCCTATGCCTGCTAGACTGTGTGAAAGTTGCAGGATTACCTCGTGTACCCCGATAGGGGCTCTTATTTCCACCGTTGTCGATAAGGACCGGTTCCATCACAAGTGCAACACAATCGTGCTGCCTGCTGAGCCGACAGCTGATAAGCTGCGGGAGTGGCTTTCTGAGATTAAGGAGAGGGTCAGGAACGCTTTCAGCTTTGACTCTGACTACGCGTTAGCGTGGATTTCAGAGACTGAGAGACTCGACTATGATGCTCTTGGCGGACCCTGCAAGTACCCGATTTTGGATTCAAACTTCACGAGTGCTATCAGGGAGTGCATCAAGACCAGGGCTGTTAGGGACAAGATGAATCGCCTGACCGAGGCCGCTCAGAATATGAATCCGCCTCAGGGTATCAAGGGGAGGCAGATCTTGAAGCTTCTGCTGAACCACCTGCAGACTGGAGTCGAGGACGACCAGACCTTTAAGATTGCTGAGTTGACCAGTCTCAAGTGCCGGCAGACGGGTCACTCTGATGATGAAGCAAGGCTCCGGAGTTATCTGAGCACCTGGGACAATCTCATTTCTGGGATTAGGAAGAAGATCGATGATGGGGTACTGTTAGCTGTGTTCATCGAGAACGTTCGTCATCTACGCTGTATGCGGCCCGACATCGAGAGGTGGGATCGCGATGTGACCGTTAGGTCATTCGCGTGGCTTTATAAGGCTTGTCAGGACTGTGTCGAACGATGGCAAAAGCGCCAGAACACGCTTCAGATGTACCAGACCTTTCATGAGCAGAGGTCACGATCGGGCTCTCAATCCCGTGAAAGGGATCGACATCCTGGTGCTCCCGGTGTAGTGCGGCGGTACGACCCACTTGCCAGGAAGAGTGATCCCAGTCCTTCAAGGTCCGTTAGGTCGGGAGGGATGGGAAACCCGACGGAAAGCCGAGATCATCTTCACCCGGAAGGAGCAGTCAGAGAGACAGAGCTTCTCCTGGAAGAGGCAGTCAGAGGGATAAGCGCACGCCGTCTCCCAAGTCGCCGAGAAGGCAGTCCCCTGCTGGGCCTGCTGATCGGGCGTGCTGGGAGTATACGAAAACTGGGAAGTGTCAACTTGGATGGGCGCGCTGCTTGCTATGTAGTTACGGCACATGCGGCACTTGCGTAAGTTCGACAAGTTGAACATATAAGTTGGCTAACACATTGTTATTGAACTTTGTAAGTTGTGCAAGTAGGGCGTTCGTGTTGTTGGATATGCTATCTATATCGGTGTATGTAGTATCTGGATAGTTTACGGCTATGTAGATACGGTACATAGCCGTAAACTTACGTCACATAGCCCTATGTATGATAAGTAGGTTAGAGCCCCAGCCGATATGTTAGTTAACGGACTTAGCGGACATACCGCTAAGTTCGCTAAGTCCAACTTAGCTCACATGTAAGCGTGGCAAATACACATGTGGGGACACACGTCAATTGCACACGGGAAGTACGGCAAAACACGGAAAGCGCGGCAAGAGACAGAAAAACACGTCCCCCTGTATACATAGAAGTTGCAGAGGCACCCTGTCAAGATTTATATGTAGGAGAAGGTATATAGTTGCGCTCGCTAGCCGAAGCATTTTTTGACAAGAACTTGTTCAATGAACTTTCTAAAAGGGTTGCTTGCGCAAAATAGGCCTCCCTTCTGGTTCACATTGTTCGGTGGTGTTCATTCCATCTCGCATATTTTCTTGTTTGATTGAAATAAGGACGGGAAATACAATTCTAGAACACTTGACTTGGTGCATGAGTTTTTCATACCCCCGAAACTGTTTATATACCTGCTTCATGTGCGTGTTTTTTGGAAGGTGTCCTTTTTGGGTGGGATAAAAGGTTGCCGAAACGAAAGCTCATTTTATAAATAGCGGGCCCATGAGAAAAAAAGAACCCATATCCCAACCATCAACTTCCCTTCTGGATACCCCCGAAACCTATACCCTGTATGTAGATGTCTGTGTCTGTTTTTTTTTGTGTTTTTTGATGTGTTGTTTTGTGGTGGTTTTAAAGGGGTGCCCCATTGAAAAAACAAACAATCCGACCCCGGCCACGCTGCGCCCGCTCGCCCTGGCAAAGCGGGCGCTGCAGCGCGCCTGCCAGCTGCGGCAGCCTGCAGGCCGAGCCGTCGATCGACAGGGCCAGCCCAGGGTTGCAGGGTTCGGGGGTCCGGGGAATATGTACTATAATATATGGGGTTGATCAATATTCTGCCCCCCCAAAATGACAATGGGAATAGTGTTTCCTATCTTGTGGGACACATCATCTTTTTAGTACTGACTTTGGGGAGGAGGGATGGGTTTGTTCGTTTGTGGGACCTTTGGATCACCCCCCCCAATTTGTTTTATGTCAGAATAGGGGACCCCTCCAAAATTGCGACTACCTTAAGTATGTACCCCCTTCCAACAAAAGGCGCCTGAGAAACAAACACAGCCCCATTATGTGTTTGGGAGGTACGGTCAAAATCACTTGTCTTCGAGTTTTTATGTAGTTATCGACGTTTTTGGGGTGCTTGTGGCTTTGCATCGTTTTGCGCATCGTATCCTTTTGGCCGGTGCACCATTGTTTTGCCAGGAACGGGCTTGAGGAACCCAGGGGTATCTTACATGAACTGCATGTTGATCTATCCTTGATTTGCTATTGCAAACGTGTTAAGCCAAATCTTCAACATGTGTTGGAAAGGAAGCTGAATCTCTTTTGGAATTCATGACACCGTATCAAATGTTGACTTCATAGCAAAGCAGGCCCCGGGAAACAAGTGGTAAGTGTGTGTGTGTGTGTGTGTGTGTGTGTGTATGTATGTATGTGTGTGTTTGTGTGTGTGCGCGTGTGTTTGTGTATGTGTGTGTGTGGGAGTGGGGGGATGAGGGGAATGTGAGCAATTAAATTCTGTCAAGAACGAGCAGCAGGGTCCCCGTGACACGTGGACTCGCTGGAAGCAGGGCTTTTAAGCTCGCTTCAAATTTGCCTTACCTTGTAGATTTGGCTCAGCCTCGATCACCCGACTGCCATGCCTTTGGAAGCCGATGCCAAGAAGGAGTTGGAGGAGGCGATCAAAGGCGCTTCCTCGGGCACGCTCGTCCAGGGAACGCAGCGGGTCTACGGAGTGCTGCAGAAGCACGGACTGCTCCGCAGACAGGTGGTGCAGCCAGGTTTGGTGGGGTGCCATCGGGACAACAGAGACGGTTTTGGACTTTCTGTGAAAGATGTGTCCGAACTCATCACCGCCATCAAGGAGGTGGGGTTTGATCATGGGGCAATCAACGCTGTAGCAGTGGAGCTTTCTCCAGATGATGAGCTCACCTTCCAGTTCAACGAAAAGCTCGCCCGGGACAGCGGCTACATGTTGCCTTCCGTACCCCGGCACCAGCTGAAGTTTGCTAGCCTTGCTGGCTCGCACACAAACGCAGCCTTGAGACTCATTGCGGCTGGTGCGGAACACACAGACGGCGATCTTTGCGTCCGTGGCAGATTGGCGCTGGAACAGGTGCGCCAGGTCGACGCAGAGTTCGCTAGAGCTGTCGACGAAGGCGTGTCATGGCGGATCATAAGCCTCCAGGCAATGGAGGCTTTCCCTGAACTTGGACCCCTCATCCAGGCTGCGGCAAATTCCAGCGGGCAGCTGGCAAGGGGTGAGCATGAACTGCAAATCATGCACCGGATGGCCAACACGATTGATGCCCGTCAGGCTGCAGGCCAATCAGTTGATTGGGCCACTCTCAAAACCCAGCTCCTTCGGTCAAGGCCAGCTTGCTCGACTGCAACCCCGTGGATGTTTCGCTTCGTCCTCAGGTACTGTGCAGGTGCCCCCGGCATGCTCCAGAGGTCAGAGTCCTTTATTAAGGCTCACGCGGTGTCAGGCAGGCAGCTTGGAGCCGACTTTTTCGAGAACTTGTCGCTTGACACAAAGCCGCCGACGGCCAACCAGTGCCTCATGTTCCGTCACGCTCTCCTTCGCCTAGCCTACTCGGTACCAGTGGAGAAGTTTGTGACCGCGGCAGACGCCAAGAAGATGCACAACAGGGATGTCAAGGCTAAGGTGGACATGGCCAATTCCTTCATGCAGAAAGCCAGCCAGCTGCCACAGAGCAGCCAAGTTCCCAGCGACCCGGCCATCAGCTCCTGCTTTCTGGCTTGCGAGCATGAGCTTGTGCTGATTGCGTTGGACAAGAGGCATCGCGACATCAATTGCCCCAGCACAATGGAGGCAGCCATGTGCAAGTTGTGCGATTTGGTGGAAAAGGCCAGTGGAATCCGCATGACCACGGAATGGGACAAGTTCAAGGAGGCCGCGGCCCAGGCATCTGCAACTGCAGTGTCGTCTGTGGCATCCACACAGTTCCTTGCACCTGATAGAATTGAAGGGTCTTGTCACCCCCTGCAGATGTCCTGGGTTAACATGAATATTGTTTTTCAAAACCATTGGTTGGAGAGTCAAGTATGAAACGATCAAGGTTGCGGGAATTCAGCTCCGATGGCACCTTGAAGCAGCAAGCCAGCTTGCTGCGAGAGGAAGGCTTCGTGGAAGGGCAGTACCTTCAGCGAAAGACGGACAAGATCGTGGCGAGGATAGTGGCCATGGAGGGCGAGAAGGTTACGCTCGCCATCGAAGATGGAATGATATCCGGCAAAGCTCAAGTGAGCGTGTCAGCATTGCTTAGCAAGCAATGGAAAAAGATCCAGCCACCGCAAGAGGCGGAGGAACTCACTGAATTCCGCCAGCAGACCGCCAAGCATTCGCCAGAGGTGAGACTCACGCTGGCGAAAGCGGACATCTTGAAGAAGCTGGTGGGTCTTGAAGAGAAGCACTGTGCTGTGTACAAGGCCCTGAAGGTGATGTTTAAGCCGCAAAAGGCGGTCATAGCCACGCACGCATTTGAAGCCGGCTGGTTGGTGTTGGTCCCAGTGTCCATGAAGATTGATGCCAAACCCATCGAACAGGATGGGGGCCAAAGCGCAGTGTGCTTGGGGCGCGTGAAGGGTAGTGATGTGTTTTGGCTGCAGCCCTGCTTTATCCCAGACAAGGGGGACGGGCGTGCGTTTGTGGCGCCCTTTTGGTTTGTGCGCTCCACCAACGAGCAGTCAGAAGCCAATTGCGCTCTGACAGACGAGGTAGAGCGCGACTTTAAGAACACAAACATCAAGGTGCCATTGTTGAAAAGCACTCGTCGCATTGAGGCTGGGGAGCAGCTTCGCTGCTATGTCCCCAAGCAAGCCAAGCGAGTGGAAGTTGAAGAGCTGATCGCACTTCATGATCCCGAGCCTCCTGCCAAGCGCCGAAGGCACAAGCAGGCTGAGTAAGAGAGGGTAGCCCAATGCCCTGCCATGCAGCACGGCGAGCACGGATTAGCCATGGCAAGCTTTGAAGCTTGGAAAAGCATAGCTTGATATTTTCGGTAACTCCTCGGGTGATTTCACTGCGAGCTGTTAGCCCTGCAGAAGCGAGCTTTGTAGAGCCCTGCTTGTTGAATTGTCAACAGATCAACAAGGCGAGCTTTCCTGAGCCCTGCCATGGCGAGCTGGAAGCCCTGCTTGTTCTATCGCATCCCATGCGTGGTTACATGTGTCAGGAGCAAAGTATTCGGGGCGGCAATGCTGGCTTTCTTTCTCAATACGTTTGGGGGTTCAATTGAACAATTGCAGTCAGCACTTACCAGAACCCTCCTCCCCACATGAACCAATTTACATTGGTCTGTCTCAACTCGTTAGGGGTTTCAGTTGAACAGTTGCAGTCAGTAAGTACTTCCCAGAACCCTCCCCCCCACATACAAATTTGCACTCTTTCTCAAACCGTTAGTAGCTTCAGTTCCCAATACCCACATACCAACTTACTGTGGTGCCATTTTGGCCGTGCTGCAAGGGCTTGAGAATCCAAGCGACGTTGGTGAGACCTGCCAGATGAGCAATGAAAAGCAGGGATGCGCAATGGGTTGACTGGACATCAGTGCCGGCTGGTAGTTACGCAGTGAACCATTTCAACCCTAGCCTCTCATTGCAGGTGACTATATAGACATCACGCTGATGCAGAGCGCTGGCAACTGCCAGGCCCCTGGTAGCTCAGATGCACAAGCATCAGCAGCGCATGTTGTGCCCGTGCGGTTCTCAATGTCAGCCAAACACGCAAGTTGCACTTCCCGAATCGCATGTTGTGCCTGTGTGGTTCTCAATGTCAGCCAAACACGCAAGTTGCACTTACCGGACCAGAGCATTTGGATCAACCGGCATCAAATAGCGCAGGGTGACTCACTCGCGCACGCAGGGTCATTGGACTCGCGAGTATAGCTGCAGTGCCACCATGGCGCGCTCTTCTTCTTCGGATGTGGAGGGCCCCGAGACTGAGGAGCTGGTCCTGGAGAAGATTTGGGTTGTTCGCGGCGCTGGCAAGGCGAGCAAGAAGCCGTGGCTCCCGTCGATCCGGGAGATCGATGGCACCAACTTCATCCGGCTCAACAAGTTCGACAGGGCGTTCGTTTTTTTTTGCCTCGGCAGAGGAATGGACCTCCGGCATGGGAGAACCAGGTCCTGCAACGTTGCAGGCTTTGACGCCCTGATCAAGCAGCGCCGGGATGCATCCACTGAAGCTGTCAAGAGCGTCCTGGCGCTGGGCGATGGCGACGGTGGCCGTGCGAAGCGCCGCAAGGTCAAAGACGATGACGCTGCCCTGCTCACCAAGCAGTACGTCACTTTGACCCTTGATCAGCTCGAGCATGAGGGGATCAGCTACGGCCCCATCACATGCAAAGCCATTTGGGCCCCACGACTCCGACCTCTGGATTGAGTTTCGCACGGACGCTCTGTACTACATGCGTGCTTTGGTGCAACAGGGGCATGCCGAGGGCAGGTTTGGGCGCACCCGGGAGAACAAGAAGAAGCAGGGCAGCCCCAAGAAGCGTGGAAGCCCCAAGAAGCGTGGAAGCCCCAAGAAGCGTGGCAGCCCAAAGAAGCGTAGCAAGCGTTTCAGCCCCAAGAGGCAAGGCGATGAGGACCTTGTGGAGCCTTGCACTTGATCTGCTACGGCTGTGTACAGGTGTTGAAGTTGGAGTATAGGCTTGGTTGATGAACATCGAATGGTGAAAAAACATGCGTTGTTGCTATGGGTTGTAATTTGGTAGGATCGGTTGAGGATCATGGAAAATCATGTGTTGTTGCTCTGGGTTGTAGTTTGGTGGGATCAGGCGAGGATCATGGAAAAGCATGTGTTGTTGCTATGGGTTGTAGTTTGGCAGGATCTGCTGAGGGTGAAGTTTGGTAGGATCGGCTGAGGAATATGGAAAACATGCGGTGCTGCTTTGGGGTGTTTTTTTTGGTGGGGTTGTTGGGGCATGGAGTGTGGTTGTAACTTACCACGCGTTGTGCTTGTGTGTGGGAGGCTGCATGAGACTTGTTGTGGACCGTGCGCAGAGATGCTCAAATGCATGCATTGTTTGGATGTGAGGATTTTCAGGCACTAAGAGTTGCAATTTTAGCAGGGGAGCAGAAAGCAACCGAGACAGGACATGCAGAAAGCAAGGAGGTTAATTAGCAGGTCCACCAACAACAACTCCCAACCAGCACAGGTGCAGCACACGCACACAGGTACACAAGGCACATCATTGCAGCACACAGGGCAACAGCGCACCCACGCCGGCATGGCTGATGAACAATGGGCGCGCGAAGACGAGGAGGAGTTCTCGGACGGCGAGATCAAGGCCAAGCTGGGCGGCAACGATGGGGAGGACTCATCGGACATCACGCTGACGCCCACGCCGCCGGCATCTCGTCCAGGAGCTCCTTTTGTTTGTGAAACATAGCACTCACTCAAATTGAAATCATGCAGTACATGTGATGGTCACCTAAGAAGCCCATAAGACGCAAAGGGTAGCCACAAAACAAACACAGACCCCAACCCTGTGAAAGCTGTGGGCCGTCTTCCAGTTGATCTTGAAAGCCACCAGGAGAAGCTGCGGAGCCTCGCGTTCCAGAAGCATGGACTACATGCCACGATGGCAAGGATTGCGGCTTGGCGCCCACGGGAGATGGGTACGACCCACCAGAAGCTGCTGTTCAAGGAGATTTGGATGCGCGGCCAGCTGGTGGTGGAGGAGATGGCAGTGCACATGAGTTTCAGTACCTTGGTACGACTGCCAAATCACGCCCAGCTGTGCGTCCTCATGGCATTGGCGGAGCTTCTGGTGGGCAAGCAGAAGGAGAAGCTCGAGGTGGAGGTGGAGGAGAAGCGGCTCACGGCACCGGCGAACGTCATGGTTGGCAAGCAGATGGAGATGGAGAAGCTCGCGGTGGAGGAGAGGACGGCGGAGCTTATGGTGGGCAAGCAGATGGAGACGCTCAAGGTGGAGAGGATCACGGCGCGGCTCACGGCACCGGCGGAGCTTATGGTGGGCAGCAAGCAGATGGAGAAGCTCGAGGTGGAGGAGAGGATCACGGCGCGGCTCACGGCACCGGCGGAGATGGAGAAGCTCAAGGTGGAGGAGAGGATCACGATGCAGGCGGACGTCATGGTGGGCAATCAGATGGAGGCGGTGGAGGAGAGGATCACGATGGCGCGGCTCACAACACCGGCGAACGTCATGGTGGGCAAGCAGATGGAGAGCCTGGAGAGGCTCATGGAGGAGGGGATCACGGTGGGCGGACAGATGGAGAAGCTCGAGGTCGTGATGCAGGAGAGGATCAAGCTCATGACAAGCCGGCCCGTGATGAAGGAGATGCATGGTGGCACCAGACCAAGGAGGAAGATGGTTGGTGGAACAACACAGAGCGAGACGAGTCGGGGTGGATGGCGAGGCCGGTCACGGAGAGCTGGCCGGACAGCATGAACACGGAGGACAAGCAGAGCGACGTGCAGGACAAGAGGCAGGACTTCCACAGCGTCCACGGGCCCGACCGCTGGACCGAGGCTGAGGGCCGGAGCGAGTCCACATGGACCGACGATGTGCAGGACAGGAAGCGGGACTTCCACGGGCGCGACCACTGGACCGAGGCGGATGGCTGGAGCGAGGCTGCATGGCATGCCAAGGCAGAGGATGACGGCCAACGCGGGTGGCAAGGAGGTGGGTGGTGGTCAGGTGGTTGGAGGGAGCCACGCGGCCGCGCCATCTACAGAGGTGGTCGCTTTGGAAAGAGCAAGGGGCGCGGCAAGGATACCCAGGGCGGTGAGTATGTCCACGGAGGGTATCGCGATGCTGCTGGCAAGGTGCACGAGCCACGAGACAAAGACTTGGTCATGCTTTTGTTTCGTGAATCATCATCACCACCCCCATCAAGTTGTGTCCCGATGAAATGCAATATGCATTTGTAATGTGGTCTCAATCATGATTCCCTTGCGAGCTGTTAGCCCTGCAGAGGCGAGCTTTGAATTGCCCTGCCGTTTCTTGTGTCTTTTGATGTCTCAGGTATGGAGACGGCCGGGCACGCAAGCGGACTCGCGGCAGCGGGGCAGACAAGGCGGCGACGCAGCGGGCCCAGGAGGAGCAGAACACCCTCGCGTGGAAGGCCATGAACAAGATGGCGGACGTAGTTCTCAACAGGCTGCCCTGAGGCCAAGGAAACACATGCAGCAACCACAGCATTGCCAGCAGCCAGCACTCATCACACATACACACACACACACACCACACACACACACATGATGATTAAGCATAGCATCAGCACACATGCAGCACACATGCATCCACCACTCAGCATTCCTTGGCCCGGGCGTCTCACTGGTAGGCCTTAATTGGGCCCTGACGGGCATGAATATGCCTTTTTCGTCGGGAGGACCTTTGCAGTTTTAGTTTTGGGCCAATGGGGCTAGGGGGGTGCGGCGGCCCTTGAAACCCAACCCCAAACCACATGAGAAGCATCTCGTGCACCTCCCTGGCCAGCGCAGGGCAGCAGGAATCGGCGACAAAGCCGGCGCGGGCACTGGGTTCCCTCTCAGAACCCCAACATGCGTCGCAACACGTTTCTGAGATTGGCCAAGTACCATTTCATGTGTTTCAAGACTAGTCTGAGTTTGGGTGGGTACCATTTAATGTGTTTCAATACTAATCTGAGTTTGGGGAGGTACACTTTAGTGTGTTTCAATACTAATCTGAGCTTGGGCAGGTACACTTTAGTGTGTTTCAATACTAATCTGAGTTTGGACAGGTACACTTTAGTGTGTTTCAATACTAATCTGAGCTTGGGCAGGTACACTTTAGTGTGTTTCAATACTAATCTGAGTTTGGGCAGGTACAATTTAATGTGTTTCAATACTAATCTGAGTTTGGGCAGGTACAATTTAATGTGTTTCAATACTAATCTGAGTTCGGGCAGGTACA